CTCTCTCTCTCTCTCTCTCTCTCTCTCTCTCTCTCTCTCTCTCTCTCTCTCTCTCTCTCTCTCTCTCCCCCTCACACACACACACATACACACACAGATTAGATATTCTTATTACCGTATCACATGTGCATTGCTCAGTCTAAATGTGGTTGGGAAGTTGGGGCCGTACATGAAGACGTTGTTGCCGTAAACCGGCGTAAGTGGCACCCACTTCCCAACCATGTTGAAAAGCGGGATTTTGCTTACGCTGCAGTGTTAAAATTGCATGGTGTTTATGCATACCTCTCTCTCTCTCTCACACACACACATGACTGTTGGTGTGGTTAAATGAGTGCGATGATGTTTCCACAATGACGACAGATCAAACCCAGCCGTTTATAGGTTGTGGTTCGTTAGCAGGTGGAAAAAATAAAAATGGAAATGAACATCGCGAGAGGGAGTGATATCTATGGAAAAGCGGGATTCCACTTTTCGGTGCACAGTATGTTTCGAACACTGAACGCGTTTTTTTATTGTTGTGTTTGTGGTAGCAAGGCAGGAAAAAAACGAACGTCGTGGAAGGCCAAGTAGTAAGTCCATTGTGCGTGCAAAGCGTTTGGGAGTGTAGGTGTGAGGGCATTTCATATCCTGTAAAAGAGAGAGCGCAGATGACGGACGAGCGCATGGTCTGTGAATGCGGTCGACCTTTCATGTCATTAAGGACATTAAACTCTCATCGTGCGAGGGCATGTCCGTCGTCAATGAGTCGTAGATCAAACGATGACGACGGACAGAGTGGGGAGAACAGGCCCGCAGGGGAGGACCGCTCGCCGGATGGCGGTGGCCAGGGTGTGAACATCGTCGACCTATCAGGGAATGCGGAAATGAAATGTGGTTCTGAGGAAGATCCCCCTGACGTGCAATCGTTCGACACATCCCGCAGACTGACTGCGATCATGTTGTCCTCTAGGGGTGGCTTAGGGATGTCGCTCAACGACATCGACGCTCTTCTGTCAGTACTGACAGATCCAAGATTCTCGCCGCAGGAAATCGTATACCGCAACAACCGTGACTTTTTACTTTGGACGAGCAGACAGGCAGAAACGAACAGGTGGCGAGAGATAGATCTCAGAAGTGATGACTGACCATCAGATGCACGTGTCGTGCTCTGGTACCGAGATTGGCATACAACTTTCATGTCACTACTCAAAGCAGCGACGAAAAAATGGAAACAAGGTCGTGTCTCTTAGTTCCCCCCCCGAGGCAGAACCCACAATAGACAGCACTCGCTCAGGTGCGTTGTGGCATCACGTATAGACCGTAATCAGAGCGCACAAAGGTGTAGATAAGAATGGCAGAACACGGTATGTGGTGCCAATCTGTCTGTATTCTGACAAAACACATCTAGATGAACGACAAAAACAGACTTCATATCCATTAATGATGTCAATAGGTGACCATGCAGATGACGTGACACTTTTTGCGTATCTTCCTGTCCTCCATCATCGCTCAGGAGACAAGGGATGGAGTTTGCAAAGCACCGCGTTCAGGCAATGCAAAACCGTCATATTGCACTCAACATTGTCTGTGGTGTTGCAGGCTGCAAAGCATGCGTCGCATGATGGCATTGTTTATGATGATTCGCGGTGGGGAGAGGTAACAGTGCACCCTTTCCTGCTGAATTATATTCAAGACTACCCTGAGAGGTGTGCCGTCGCAACGGTGAGATACGGTGTATGCGCGACGTGCACAGTGTCAATATCTGATTTTGATGTTATTGCAGACTTCACTAACCGTCGTCGCTCACAAAACATGGAACGTGCACTTCTGACGGAATTCCATTCGACAGACAACAATGATGTTCGTCGCATGAAGAAGACACAATTGTCGAACTTGAACATGCACACGCATGTGAAACAAAACGGCCTGTGGGGATTTTATAAGGGTCCTGAAGACGATGATCCTATGTTCGACTACCACCTGGCTCTGCAACCGGACCGCATGCACACCATCGAGCACGATATATTTTTGCACATGTTAGACGCTTTCAGAGCAGCTGCCTTTGACAAGTTAAGCCACGTCCCACAAAGCCATGTGTTGAAGGAGTTGGATGCGAGGTTGCAGACACTGAGCGAGAGAATCAGTACTACGTATCCGCAACTTGTGCTACCTGTAGCAACAAGTAGCGACTACTTTTCACGGGAGGGGCGTTTCAAAGCTAAGCAGAACCGGTCGGTTATGACAATGTACGTATTCATAGTGTTTAACATTATCCCTGGGTCGGTGGGGAAAAAATTAACATCTTGTTTCAAGAAACTGATGGAACTGTACATCTCAATGTTCCGGTGCACAAAGCATTCAAGCCATTCGCTTGACACATGTGACAATCTTATTACGGACTTCATAACAACCCTGAAACAGGTCATGGGTCATTATCAAACCTCCAAATGGAAACTGTCGAAGTTGCACGACCTTCTGCATTTGAGGGCGTGCATCGAACGTTCAAGTCTCTCAGACAGCTTCGCGGCCGATGTGTGGAAGCACCACCACCAGAAGTTTTGCAAACAGTCATTCCTGTCGTCGAACAAGCGCAAAGCTTCGTTTCAAATGGTGAATCATGTGCGACGGGCTGTCACATTCGACGACGACATTGAACGTGCACGGAAACAGAGGAAGAGGACAACTGAGAATTAGTCGTCCGTCATGGAGTGCTCGGCAAGCGGAATGAACACATTTGCCGCACGCGACACGGCCAAGTTGCATCTTCGATTTCCCCCCGCGAGAATGCGGTATTCAATGGAAACGAAGGTGCGATGGGAACCGCCAAAGCGATATTGGATGCCCTCCCTTGCAAGGACTTGTTTCGAGAAGCTCTTCGCACGTACATGTCGGAAAACAGATGCAATCCACCGCATGAGGACATGTTAATACGCACAAGAACGCATCTTGCCATCGCAGCAACCGCCGATGGAACAACCAGGGGGGCACTTGTGCAAACTGCGAGGGCTTCACCCAACTTCCATGGGAGAGCGGTGCACAGTGATGTTGCTGTGAGGGCACAGACAGGAAGTACGTGGTATGCACCAGTGGCAATGTTTTTTGTCATGAACACCTGTACGGAAGAAGTGTCCATCACGCATGAGTGCGCCTTTGTAAAATGGTACAAAGAGGCTGACACTGAAAGAGTAGATGTGACAGGGTGCAAAAAATTGAAATGGGAAATGGTAAATGGTCGCCAGATGTGTAGCGTCATCTCCGTTGACAACATCACGAATACTGTCCATATTGTTCTATGTTTCGCAGAACCACAGTGGGGTTCACCGGAGACTTATGGAAGACAACGTGAGGACACTTTTTACTTGAACAGATTTGTATTGTGATATGTGGCCACACACTCTCAACGGTGACTGCGCGGTCCGGTTGGGTAGTGCGTGCCAATTTAAGGAATACCGCTCACGCATGACATCTTTATGGCCCCCACCACCTCTCTCTCTCTCTCTCTCTCTCTCTCTCTCTCTCTCCCCCCAAGCCCTGTCATCGCGTGATCAAGGAACGACTATTGAAACTGACGCAAGAAAGCTCGTGAAAATGCTGATGGCTTGTTCACAGGTAGAATGTCACACATTACGAGGAACAGTATTGAACGCTCAACGCTGGCAGCAGACATGACCACGAGGAGAGGGAAACGATCAAGAACAACACGAATGCGGTTAACCGAAGAGAAAAAAAATGTCGGAGATGACAGCGTGGCAGAGGTCACGATCGATAGCAATCAAGAGGAAACAATATCGACGAAGCAGGAGAATTTAGAACGAAGCAAAATGGAAACGCAAAAGGTTGACAAGGGAGCGTCGCACACCGAGAAGAGGCCACAAGCCACAACAAGAGAAGGCGAAAAAACAACAATGAGGACGGCGGCGAAGTGCACAATAATGACAATAGAGGCTATGTTGGAGAGATGGGAGCACCTGTCACAGAAGGACTCGTGGTACAACAGAATGTACTTGGCAGCGACAAGGGAAACAATTCGGCCAGCGGATCTCGGACATGCAGAGTTAAGCGGGAAAACGACACAGGCAAAGAAGGGTGAGAATGCATCAAGCTCGTCGGATGAGTTCAAGGTTGTTGACGAGACGAACATATATCCACTCATGTGGAAAGGCAAAAGGGAGGAGATCCGACTGGCGGAGGCAAATGTGATGTGCTTGGCCGTTGGGAAGTGGCTTAATGACAATGTAATGGATATGTATTTGTTGTCCATATACGAAGAGCAATTGCAAGGTAAGGACACAGCAGCAGTGCATGTGTGCACAACTTTTTGGCATCCGGAGGTGCTCGCAAATCAGAAAGTCGACACAGTAAAAAGGGGATGGGAGTTGCGTGTCAAGAGTCGGACGACCAAAATTCATCGACTGTGTAAAGACCTGGAGGCTGCACCGCTCGTGCTTATTCCAATTAACCACAAGCACCACTGGATGCTGCTCACATTGTTGAATGTAAGGGAGTTTTGGACCGACTGCACATGCCTTAACGCCATAATCGTTGACTCGTGTGACGGGTACGCAACTCCAGATTGGAGGGCGTTGTGGACATTAATGTGGCACGAGTACCTCAACGACAAAAGAAGGGGTCCGGATGTCGCACGCCAACTGGTGGACAAGTTGTGGAACACTTGCAGAGATGTGTTTGGTTGTGGACTAATCCATGCGAGGTCTTCACAACAAAGTAACACAGAGGATTGTGGTGTGTATGTATGTTGCATGGCARAAGAGTTGATAACAAAGTTGGCACATCGTACAACCGAGAATGGCATCTCAAAAGACGACATACTGAAGATTGTAGAGAAGATGCGCATCGATGAAAGAACCGTTGGATACTTTCGTAGGAGAACTCTCGATCGCATTGCAGAGTGTGCAGCAGCAGCGAAAGGTTACACGAGCCTTGGAGCATGTCGGACGATAGCTCGTGCCATGAGAGCGACCATAAAAAAAGACGGTGGCGAACTCCCTTAGACAAGTTCGACAGGCCATGTCAGCCGGGACGATCGGGGGGGGGGGGGGGGGGTAGATCGATAGCGTCGGTGAGGGGGTTTACTGCAAGGGGGTGAGTTTTCTGATAACACACTGTGGATATACATGCAAGCGAGAGCAAGACTGTTTCATTCATATCCACCATCCATCGTGTGTCGTGGGTGATCTGCCAACTGAGGCTGCACCGAAGAATATTACGTTCAACCTTTGATGAAATGACAGAGAGAGAAGAACACTTCCGAGAGAGAGAGAGAGAGAGAGAGAGAGAGAGAGAGAGAGAGAGAGAGCCGCTAGGAGGGGGCAGAGAGAGAAAAACGGAGGACGACTGTAGTTGTATATTATAAAGAATTTGGCGAAGAAGATGTACCACATTACGAATTTTTGTTTGTTTTTTTGCATGAATGTTACATCTTCTCTTGTCATCATATAATATAAGAAACATCTCTCTCTCTCTCTCTCTCTCTCTCTCTCTTCTTGAACAATGTTCAGGCTGATTCACATTTAAAAGTTGTCTAAACATTATGGAGTGTTTGAGTAAATAGCTCATAAGTGGAATATTGTGTGTATCATGTAGCTTTGCAATGGCACCCAGCCGCAGGTACGAAGATCTTGCTTCATCATTAAAGCAAGTACAGGAAAGACAACCACCAGCACGCCTGAGCGAAAAGACTGCGGTCAGGAAAGAGAAGGGGAAATTCCAGAGAGGGCCATACGAAAAAAGCAAGACATCACCTTTGATGAAGTCACGCGCGGACCGTGCTGCGATCACGGCGTCGCCGAAAGCAAACATGTATGACTCCAATAAACGACAACGAGAGTCGGCCCCCGCGTCCCCGGCATCCACGAAGAATCGCAAGCGACAGAATCGATCTCCGCCACAGGCGCCGAAGAAAAGGTCATGTGCGGAAGGGGTGGAAGGACAACCTTGACACAACGTCACAAATGCGAAAAGGAAGAGAATTATTGAGGGGGAGGAGGAAGGGCAGGAGACAATTGATATGAGGGGATCTGAAGGTGTGGAGGCAGGCAACACCGAAAAACGACACGAGTCACGAGACGCAGCAGATCAGACGCAAAAGTGCAACGCGAAGGTTTCGAAATTGGAAGGTGTTGACGCAGCCAACACCGAAAAACGAAGCGTTTCACGGGACACAGCAGGTCAGACGCAAAGGTCCTACCCGTATGATGAGACAGATGACGGTGAGGGACACAACGAGGGCACATGCGACGAATGTGAATTGTACGGAGAAGATGCGAGCAACGAAGAGGAGGACAACGAGAAAGGGTATAACAACACAGAGGACAGCGATGACGAGGATAAAGAGGAGGAAGACATATATCGGAGCAGCAGCAGGGAAGAAAGGTGTAGCGAAGACAATACACAAAATACGTCTCGAAAAACGCAAGGAGGAAGAAATCACGGACGCAAGGAGAAGCCATGTGTTGAACGACGTAAGTACGCAATTTATAAGAAAATAAAAATATCCGAACACAAATGGCTAGTCGATATGTTGTTTTGCTCAGACTGTTGTCATTACGTGCCTGTTGTGCAAAATGGTAGCGAACTGTATACGTTGTTCGATAAGAAAATTTTGCGAAGGCTGCAAACAAGTAAGTGCAGTTGCGGTTGTTTGTCCTGCCAAGCCGATGTATGAATGTGGTGGATATTAACTTCGAACTTTTGGTTGTTGACACGCGTTCTGCAGGCCGCCAGATTATACCAGGAGGGAGACGGCGTGACGAGGACTCAAAAGAGGCTGGGCGTTCGGCATGTGGCACGGGAGACGGATGCTACTTATTCGAAAAAAAGCAAAAAGACAAACTGCTGAGGTCTGTTGCAAAAACTTTTGTGCACTCAACAATGAGGGACGCAACATTCTACCCGTCGGAGGACGACTTCTTCAATGCGTTGCAGTTGGCTGCTACCCTTTTAGGAGAAGACGTGAGTGCAGGTTGGGGGAAGTATGTAGAGGAGAAGGGTTTGCGAACTGTGCTCATAGAGTGCAACCGAATGATGACAACGGTCCGTGGAGAGTTGACTTGGCAATTGAGACACTAGTTTTGGGCGGAGAGAGGTGTCCCCCTCGTACGTGGCGCGCAGTCGGATCACAACAACACCATGCGAGACGAACTACGTAGCCAGATGAACAAAGACAAAACATGGAGAAGGAAGGGCGACGAGCCATGGAGATCGGAACATTTCAAGAGGACACTCACAAAAGTGTTCCAAATACGAAAAGACGGCGGGAAGCTCGGCGTGACGTTGCAACAATTAGTGTTCACCGAACTCGTGATCCGCACAAAAATAGAACAGACAAAGAAGTCAAGCAAGGCGTCGGATCAGTTGCTCCAAATGACCACTATAAAGAATGACATAGTGAATACAGCCCGGAGCCGGGACACAGTTATGAGTTTCTGCATTTTCAAGCTCGAGCACGACACAAGTGTGACAGATGTGGCGACACGGTACTACAAAGCAGGGAACATACGGAGAGACACACGTACGGTTGACAACAACAACAATACCGTAGAGGACTTTGAATTCGAAGTGCTAGTCCCGCAGACACAATCGCGAGCTTCATGCTGAGGGCCTTGCTAACCTATCCCGGAGTCACACTCCTGTTCTTCTGACGGATGATACAGGAGTCAAGATGTGGTGGTACTGCGTGTCTGCAACTCCTGCCAGAACAAGACGTGGAGAGAGAGAGAGAGAGAGAGAGAGAGAGAGAGAGAGAGAGAGAGAGAGAGAG